GGCAAGGAAGACGGACACCGGGGCAAGGACCTCCTCGGGGCGAGAGGGCGCACACCGGGCAGGGCATCCCTGTCCGGGCGGACGGACATCGGCCGGAGCATCCCCCGGGGCGAGGACGACGGGGACACAGGCGGACACCTCCGCCGCTCCCCAAAATCCGAGGGCTTTGGCCATGGCCCCGGGCTGCCCGAGGCACGGACAAAATAAAATTGGCAAAAAAAAAAACCCCATCAAATGCTGTGACCGAGTTTTGCTTTCCCAACGAGTCCCTAGCGCCGCACACATCCCCTGGCAGCAGAGAGACAGAGACCCCCGACCCCCACAAATATTTCCCAGGTCCAGGGGGATGGAGACCCCCGCCCGCAAACATCCCCTGGAAGTAGAGGGATGTAGACCCCAGCCCCCCACAAGCATTTCCCAGGTTCAGGGGGATGGAGACCCCCGGCCCCAAACATCCCCTGGCAGCAGAGGGACAGAGACCACGGCCCCCACAAATATTTCCCAGGTCCTAAGGGATGGAGACCCCCGGCCCCAAACATCCCCTGCAGGGAGAGGGACAGAGACCCCAGCCCCAAACATCCCCTGCAGGGAGAGGGACAGAGACCCCCGCCCTCCACAAGCATTTCCCAGGTCCAGGGGGACAGAGACCCCTCGAGCATCCCTGGGGCACCGCGGCGAGAATAAAACTGGCAGAAAAAGGAAATTCTCTTCCTGGGCTCCGGGAGACCTGGGGAGGGTCTGAGGAGCACCGGGAGCTGCTCCCAAAATCGCGGGGAGACCCCGGCCCTTCCCGGGTAAAACTTGTCCCCGCCCCCAACCCGGGCCACGCCTTTTTTCGAACCCTCCACCTCCCGACCAATCAGATCGCTCGGTTGCGTTCTAGCCACCGCTCCCCCCGTGACTTCATAATGTGGAACGCTGGTTGCTCCGTCCCCCAGGCTGTTTCTGGGCTCCTATTGGCTGTTGCTAAGGGGCGGGGCTTGGGCGGACTATAAAAGGCGGGTGTTGTGGGGGCGTTGCTCAGTCCGGGCCCGGACTCCGAGGAGTGCGCAGCATCAAAGCGCACAACAGGAATGGAACTGGAACTTCTCCGTTCCATCCAATTAATCTCAGAGATATCCAAGCCCCCTCCCCACACCACATAATGGGAGGGGGACAGATTTTTTTTTTTTTTTCTTTTTTCTACTCTTCTCTACTCTTCACCTTTCTCCACAGGAAATGAAGACAGAAGATACCCTTGCTGCAAAGCAGCAACAACAAACAGGTGACCCCCTCCCCACATTAGGGTAGGAGAACACATCTGACTTTCTTGTATTTATTCCACAGGAAATGAGGATAGAAATTATCCTCGCTGCAAAGCAGCAACAACAAAGGGTGCGGAGGCCCCAACAAAAATTTCTCCGCTCCACATAAATCAAACTTCCTCTAGCTATCTAAAACGTGAGTACAAACAGAAACCACTGTGTCCCCCCAACCCTCCCATAAGGGAACGAGGACAGATCTGAGCTGCTCCTCTGATCCCCACAGAACACAAAAATGATGCTACCCAAAGAACTGCAGCAACGATGGGTGCGGAGACCCCACCACAAACTCCGCTCCAGGCAAACCTCCAGGCCTCAACCAGGTGAGCACAAACAGAGATGATCCTCTCCCCCCACCATCCCCGATAATGGGAAGTGCACAGAGTTAATCTGAGCCTTCATCTCCACACAGGTTGAGGCTGGAGACAATCCAACCCCTCCATCACGGAGGAGTTGGAACGGTGGATGCAGAGGCCTCAACTCCTCCGCTCCACCTACCTTACTATACCTTAACATACTATACCTTAACCTACTCTACCTTAACCTACTGTACCTTATCCTACACTACCTTACCCTACTCTACCCCAGAACTACACCAAATTTATCTCCTGTCCCCCTTCCCACACCACATAAGGGGAAGAGGACAGATATGACTTTCCTCTCTTATATTAATTAATTATATATATATATATAATAATATATATCATTAATAATTATTATATATCATTAAGATAATAATTATATATCATTAAGTTAATGAGGATATCCTCAAAATTTGGAAATTATCCACATAGACATCAGTTCCTCCAGGCCTCAACAAGGTGAGCACAAACAGAGATGATCCTCTCCCCCCACCCTCCCCGATAATGGGGAGTGGACAGAGTTAACCTGAGCCTTCATCTCCACACAGGTTGAGGCTGGAGACAATCCAACCCCTCCATCACGGAGGAGTTGGAACGGTGGATGCGGAGGCCTCAACTCCTCCGCTCCACCTACCTTACTATACCTTAACATACTATACCTTAACCTACTCTACCTTAACCTACTGTACCTTATCCTACACTACCTTACCCTACTCTACCCCAGAACTACACCAAATTTATCTCCTGTCCCCCTTCCCACACCACATAAGGGGAAGAGGACAGATATGACTTTCCTCTCTTATATTAATTAATTATATATATATATATAATAATATATATCATTAATAATTATTATATATCATTAAGATAATAATTATATATCATTAAGTTAATGAGGATATCCTCAAAATTTGGAAATTATCCACATAGACATCAGTTCCTCCAGGCCTCAACAAGGTGAGCACAAACAGAGATGATCCTCTCCCCCCAGAGTTAACCTGAGCCTTCATCTCCACACAGGTTGAGGCTGGAGACAATCCAACCCCTCCATCACGGAGGAGTTGGAACGGTGGATGCGGAGACCTCAACTCCTCCGCTCCACCAATCCTACTCTACCTTACCCTACTCTAACTTAACCTACTCTACATTATCCTACTCTACGTTATCCTACTCTACGTTGTCCTACTCTACTCCAGAACCCCGCCAAATTTATGTCAGACTTATCCTGTCCCCCTCCCCACCCCACATAAGGGGAGGAGGACAGATGGGATTTTCCTCTCGTATATACACAGTAAATGAGGATATTCTCCTCAAATCTCTAAACCGTCCACATAGACCTCAAACTTCCTCCAGCCATCTCCAACGTGAGTACAAACAGAAACCACTGTGTCCCCCCACCCCTCCCGTAAGGGAACGAGGACAGATCTGAGCTGCTCCTCTGATCCCCACAGAACACAAACCTGATCCTAGCCGAAGACCTGCAGCAACGATGGGTGCGGAGGCCCCGCCACAAACTCCGCTCCAGGCAAACCTCCAGGCCTCAACAAGGTGAGCACAAACAGAGATGATCCTCTCCCCCCACCCTCCCCGGTAATGGGAAGTGCACAGAGTTAATCTGAGCCTTCATCTCCACACAGGTTGAGGCTGGAGACAATCCAACCCCTCCATCACGGAGGAGTTGGAACAACGGCGGCGGCCTCAACTACTCTGCTCCACCTACCCTTACCCTACCTTACCTTACCCCAGACCCCACTAAGTTTTTCCCCTGTCCCCCTCCCCACCCTACGTAAGGGGAGGAGGACAGATCTGACTTTCCTTTCTTATGTACGTAGTATAGTATAGAAATATAGATGGAAGTTATCCTCGCTGCAAGCAGCAGCAAAGAGGTGACCTCCTCTCTAACCACTGTAAGGGGAGGAGGACACACCTGACTTTTTTTTTTTATTTCCTCCATAAATGAGGATAGAAGTTATCCTCGCTGCGAGCAGCAGCAAAGAGGTGACCTCCTCCCCAGCCACTATATGGGGAGGAGGACACACCTGACTTTTTATTTTCTTTTATTTTTTCCATATTAAATGAGGATAGAAGTTATCCTCGCTGCAAGCAGCAGCAAAGAGGTGACCTCCTCTCCAACCACCGTAAGGAGAGGAGGACACACCTGACTTTTATTTTTTCCATATTAAATGAGGATAGAAGTTATCCTCGCTGCAAGCAGCAGCAAAGAGGTGTCCTCCTCCCCGACCACCATAAGGGGAGCAGGACAGATCTCGCTTTTCTTTTTTTTTTTCTCCACAGAAAATGAGGATAGAAATTATCCTCACTGCAAAGCAGCAACAACAAAGGGTGCGGAGGCCCCAACAGAGATTACTCCGCTCCATGGAGCCCTCCCTCAACCTTCACCAAGGTGAGCACAGAGATGATCCTTTCCCCCCACCCTCCCCGATAATGGGAAGTGCACAGAGTTAATCTGAGCCTTCATCTCCACACAGGTTGAGGCCGGACACAATCCAACCCCTCCATCACGGAGGAGTTGGAACGATGGATGTGGAGGCCTCAACTCCTCCACTTACCCTACCCTACCCTATCCTACCCTACCCTACCCCAGACCCCACCAAATTTATCCCCTGTCCCCCTCCCCGCCCAACATAAGGGGAGCAGGACAGATCTCGCTTTTCTCTTTTTTCTCCACAGAAAATGAGGATAGAAATTATCCTCACTGCAAAGCAGCAACAACAAAGGGTGCGGAGGCCCCAACAGAGATTACTCCGCTCCATGGAGATCGCCTCCATCCCTCAACCAGGTGAGCACAAACAGAGATGATCCTTTCCCCCACCCTCCCCAGTAATGGGAAGTGCACAGAGTTAACCTGAGCCTTCATCTCCACACAGGTTGAGGCTGGAGACAATCCAACCCCTCCATCATGGAGGAGTTGGAACGATGGATGTGGAGGCCTCAACTCCTCCGCTCCACCTACCCTATCCTACCTTACCTTACCCCAGACCCCACCAAATTTATCCCCTGTCCCCCTCCCCGCCCAACATAAGGGGAGCAGGACAGATCTCGCTTTTCTCTTTTTTTTTTCTCCACAGAAAATGAGGATAGAAATTATCCTCACTGCAAAGCAGAAACAACAAAGGGTGCGGAGGCCCCAACAGAGATTACTCCGCTCCATGGAGCCCTCCCTCAACCTTCACCAAGGTGAGCACACAGAGACAATCCCCCTGTTGTCCCTAGTAACGGAACGTGGACACAGTTAACCTGAGCCTTCATCTCCACACAGGTTGAGGCTGGAGACAATCCAACCCCTCCATCACAGAGGAGTTGGAATGAAGGATGCGGAGGCCTCAACTCCTCCGCTCCACACAGATCTC